TTGGGGGGTCTTCCCTGAGGTTACATTAACATCAACTTACTGTGCATCGGCATTCTATTTTTACAGGTCTTTCCATTTGGTTCGGTCCCACTGAAAACCTATCTTCCAGATGGAGATATTGACCTCATGATCCTCAGCCATCAAAGCATGGAGGAAGATTTGGCCAGGAATGTCTTCACTCTCCTCCAATGTGAAGAGCAGGACCAGGGGTTCCAAGTAAATGATGTCCAGTATATTCAAGCTCAGGTTAATTTTTTCCAACTCCAATCCTTCTTTAAAAGTGATGACTTTGTGCTCTAGTCAAATATTAATGTGGTACGCGGACAATAAACTTATCCTTCAGCACATTATTTAAGTTGTCTTTTAGTGTCTCTCTAACCATCGTGTACAACAATGAGTTTGATGATGTACTTGCTAGCTGATACTGTTGACTATGACTGCATGTATTTAGGTGCTTGATCAATTCTCTCTTCACAATACTTTACTTCCAATTACTTCTAGGTACTCCAAGAATATGGGCTATGATTTATAGTATGCTTCTCTACACCGAAGACCGCAGTGCAATCTTATTCATCATTTATTGACAAGATGCCCATGTAATAATGTCCAATACATCTTGGAACACTTACTAAAGAGATCTTATTTACTCTTTCCAAGATCATGTAAACCAAGCATAATGTGCTTTCTTGTTTTGGAATTTTGTACATGCAATTATTATTATTTTTGTCATTGGCTAAGTCTCTAAAATCTTCCTTGCATCCGTGGAAAATTTAACTGACAACTGATTTATTCATAATAAATTTACCAGCACATACTCACCCACATGTATTCTGTGTGTGCATGCTCATGTGTGCAACATATTGCATTGAGTTTTAGGAGTAGATGTTAAATGATCCCTGTGTATAATGATCCGAGGCTGTGACCTTCCCAAGCAAACATCTGAAAACCATATCTCTTGAATTTGGCAATTATACAGCCTGCTTTCTGCCAACATTAACCATAATACAACCACTATTGGCACCGTTACCCTCCACACCCTGTTCATCCCAATTTTCTTGAATCATTCCATATGTCAGAAGGAGATGAGTGGCGCCTCATTCAATTTCACAGATGCAACGGAAGGAAAAAATTTGTCAAAAACCTAGGGGATAGTAGGTGAATTTATAACCATCCTTTTTTTGCTTGTCAAAGAGTTGGTAGAAGTCAATGAGAAAACTGGAACTCTGTAAGCCGTGTTCACTCAACATGTTCAAGATCAAATTTCTCAATCTGATTCCTAATTTGGTAGCTGGTAAAATAAGAAAGAATTCATTATAGCCTGATTTTGGACTCTGGTTATGATGTAGTTTCAAGGTTCTGGCTACTATATAATTTCTTGTAAGTGTAACAAAACAATTGCAGTCGATGTTGGCAGCTTCTTAGTCTTGCAGCTAGTACTGATAGGGAACTACTGGTCATTCATTCATTCAGAAGAGGAAACTTCTTCCATTACAACTTTGTTAGCATTCTTATTGAAGTTTGCCGGAAACATGACACAATTTGGAGGTTTCTCTGTGACTAGGTTTTAACCCGTCATCAAATACTTGTAGAAGAGCTTCTCAATAGTGTATCTGATTGAAATGTGAGTTCTGTATTAAGTTGGGTCAAAATCAGAGCTACGATAAATCCTTTCACTCCTAGATATTTTCAATGTGAAATCCTGTTCCAAAATATGGAGTGTTTTCAATTTGGAACATTAATTTGAGGGAAGCAACTATTCCAAAATAAAACACAACAGTCTTATCTTTTGATTGCATGCATTAGAAAACAAGTTATGGAACTCGATTATCTAATTCTATGATTTTGAAATGACTTTTAATGATCTGCATGAACATGTTACATCCGCCATTATAATCCAATGAGTATGCGTTTTGCACATTGTTTCACTTTAAGTGCTACACTTCACATGTTTCAATCAACTGAAGGCTCTATTTCATGCAATAGTTTCACTCTCAGATAAAAACTTTTTGCTGCTGCAGATAACTTGCACTTGTCATGGTTTTTTGCTTTTTTGGCTATGAATCCTTTTTTGGCAATGCTCCATTTGATTTATACAAGTAGAAACTGTTTCTAATTCTTCTTTTTTATTTGTGCGAATAAAAACTTAGCTCATTACTTCAACTATCATTTTTTGATAATGACCGTCTTCTCTATTGTCCTCCTTTAATCACAAATCAAGAGTATTTTAACAATTTTCTGAATCGAAACGGAGCTATTTTCTTGTGTATGTTGCCTCAATGCTGCTGGGAATTTGGATGGCAGGTTAAGGTCATAAAATGTTCTGTAAAGAACATTGCCGTTGACATCTCTTTCAATCAAATGGGAGGACCCTTCGCATTATGCTTTTTAGAGCAGGTATGATCCTACATTATACCTCAGTCTCAGAATGCTGAGCAACTTGCTATCTTCTATAAATATACTGGCATGTGTAACCTAAATGCGGGTCCATTATGTGAAGTCTACCTCAATTATATAACATTTTCCTTTATTTTGACGGGGTTGAGATTCCTGTGAAGATAGATGCTCCGCTTGTGATAGTTCTCTTTTGATTCTTGTTTCTTTTTGTAGTTCTTTCTACTTTTCAGTTCTTAGTATTATCATCTGGTTGGTATATTTGGATCTTTCCTTTTCCATTATCCACATTCCTTTTTGTTCCTATATTTTTTTCTTTATTGGCATAAGAAATCTTCAACATTTCTGTAAAACTACCATTTCATTCTTCTTTAATTTTTTCCTAAGCTTTTATTAACTAATTCGATGGGTGAGCTTTTAAAATTAGATTGTTCTTTGTGTGTGTGTTGGGGGAGGGGGGGGATTTTTGCTCGTTCACCATGTGAGACATCTCTCTCTCTCTCTCTCTCTCTCTCTCTACATATTTGAATTTAGTCATAAATTTAAATGAGAATCCAAAAACATATCTGACTTCTCTGATGCTAATTGTTTCTCAGGTTGACCAAGTTATTGGTCGAGATCATCTTTTCAAGCGCAGCATTATCTTGATCAAAGCATGGTGTTTTTATGAGAGCCGAATTCTTGGTGCACACCATGGCTTGATCTCAACATATGCATTACAAATATTGGTTTTGAATGTCATTAATAATTTCCATTCATCTCTATCCGGTCCTTTAGCAGTGAGTATTTTTCATTTCAGCAATTCCTTTTTGCATTATTCATAAGTTAGCTAACTTAATTTTATGTGTACAGGTCCTCTACAAATTTTTGGACTATTATAGCACCTTTGATTGGGACAACTATTGTGTCAGTATAAATGGCCCCATTCTCATATCATCCTTCCCACAAATGGGTGAGCATTTAAATGTGTTTGGATAGCATCCCATTTTTTTACTTGATTACTCAAGACCCTTTTTTCATTGACAGAGTCAATAAATAACAATGGGAATGAGTTACTTCTCAGTCAGGAGTTTCTGAGGAACTGTAGGGACATGTTTGCATTTCTGATGAAAGAACTTGAGAATGGTGCCCCTGAATTTCCTACTAAGCATCTCAACATAGTGGATCCTCTTAAGAACAGCAACAACTTAGGACGTAGTGTTAACAAAGGTACATTTAACAATATACAAAGCAGCTGTTTCTGGATATTGTTTTAGAAAATGAGCTTAAGGGCTTGAATATGGTATCTGTAAATTTTGGAGGCTCTGATTTTGGGATTTTTTTCTTTACTCCATGGGGACTTGCAATGGTACATAAAGGAGTTATTGGTACCATGAATTGGATGGTATTTCACATATTAAATTTTAAAATAGACAACTGGTTCGTAGTTTGCAGTCATGAGATAAAAATAATTTTGTTGCGCAATGAATGTTGGAATGTTAATGTCCATGCTAGGGGTAGTAAGAAAGTGTCGTGCTCTATTACATTTTTCCCATTGTTAAGCTTAATAATATTAGATTCAAGCATATTCTTGGAATTATATTATTTGCTATATTTATATGCACCAAAGTGTTGGAATTAATTTATGAATTTGTTTGCATGTTAGGAGGTGTAGACACTGTCCCTGGAGTAATTACTGGAATTCTAAATAATGAGCTGATGATGATTCATCTATTTTTTACTAGGCAATTTTCATCGAATAAGAGGCGCCCTATCTTATGGGGTTCAAAGGCTTGCAGAAATAATTGCACTGCCAGGAGAAGCAATGGGTACTGGACTTGAGAAGTTCTTCATGAACACTTTGGACAGAAATGGCAAGGGTCAAAGGCCAGATGCAGATGTTCCTATCCCTGCATTTGGTACTGGAAGATCTGAGGCGGCTGATCTCAGTGGAGATTATGACAAATATTACAGTGGTCTACTATATGGCCAGTGGTATCACAATTATGCACTGCCAGTACCTCCTCTGCCCGGTCCTCCATCACCACCTTCACAAATCAAGCAGAAAAGTGCTAGGGATGTGCCGCCCCAGTTGCTGCAAAGCAAGCAGAATGTTTTTTCTCAAAGAGGCACAGATGTGTTTTTACCATGGCCACAATGTCACCCTTTTGCCTCACAACTACAAGATGCTGCTTCTAGTATTGATAGAAGAAGGAAGTCAAGAGGAACAGGCACATACATCCCAGACATGGTATATCTGTATTCTGCTGTTTTTCTTGTAAATATGACCAAATGATCGGTTGGTTACTGAATAAAGATACTTGAATTTTGCAGTGCCATAATCGTTACAAAGATTTGCTATTATGGGTGATGACAAGCAATCCAGATTCAACACATAGACCATTGTCGCAATCACCTCAGATGACAGATCGGGCTGAAGAGTCCCCAAAGATGGAGAAGAGTGGGAATGGTAACTGCCTTAATATTCCACCGGATCAATTCTCTGCAGAGACACAGAAGAGTGAGTATGGCAGCTGCCTTGATCTTTCACTAGATCAATTCCCACTTCTTCCTAGCAGTAAGAAATCCATGTCATCAGAAATCCATCAGTCTTCTCAAAACATCGCAGAGGCATGCCAGGCCAAGGATCGTTCTTCCACCTTAGGGAATATTCAGTTTGGATCCTTCCAGAGTTCACCATCACTGCAAGGACTGCCTTCATCAGTGGTGAAGAAGCAAGCAGATCCAGGAGTTTCAACCACTAAGGATGAAATGCCAGTTGTCCTCAGAACAGAAATGCAGAAGCAACGAGGGTTCTTTGAGAGTCCTGAGAAAATGTATGGTATTTTCTTTTACATCGAGGTTTTGATGACGATATAGATTCTCTCTGAACTTTATTGTTGCTGTTTGGTGCACGACAGGGTTTGCAAACAACAGAACCAGCTGAAGAATGATATAGATTCCCCCCCTCTCTGATTGCCAGTGCACTTACAGGTAGAGATTTAAGTAAAAGAGTGGAACTACAGTTCAACAAAAATGTTGATACCAAACCTGACATAGATCTTTGCGTACACAGAAATAACCCTGCCTTAGGGAAGGCTAGAAAAACAATTTTATTTGTGTATTTATTTTCCTGCTGTCAAAACCTAATAAAGGAAGCATTTTTGTTTAGGATGGCCCTTGGATGGGTTTCTCATCCCTTCCACCTCGGTATTTTACAGGAACTTTCTGTCTGAAAAAAGGTTCTTTTACATGCTCTCATCCTCACTAAAGCTTTGTCAACTGTAAGTGGGTATTTAGTGAGGAGTTTATAAGAACTGTGTTTTAAAAAAAAAATTTGAAAAAAAATAATTTTTATTTTTTTGTGTTTTTAAATTGTTTTGATGTATTGGTATTAAAATTAATTTTTTAAAAATAAAAAATATTATTTTAATATATTTTTTTAAAAAAAATACTTTGAAAAATAATTGATATGATATTTTTAAATACTTAAATTTTACTTTTTTTGGGTGATTACGTGACTAGTCACATTTTTATTATCCTAAGTTTTTTTTTAGTATTATTTATTTAGATAATATAAGTTTTTTATTTTAATATATTTTTAAATAAAAAATATTTTGAAAAATAATTACTATAATATTTTAATATATTTTCATACACTTTATAAATCTTTTATTTGGGTGATTATATGAGTTACATTTTTATTAGCATTAAATGTTTTTTTAGTATTATTTGTTTGTTAATACATGTTTTTCTTTGAAACCAAATAGTGGTGTCACCTCTTTTTTTTTTTTTTAAAAAAAATGTCTTCTAATAAATAAAAAACACAATTATCTAGTGTTGGTTTTTTTTTTTAATTAAAATGTCAACTTTCTACATTAATCTTTTTTTTTAAAAAAAAATATACAGATCAAAGATGCTATTATTTTACGTAGTTTTATTTTATATTTTTTTTTATATATAATTGAGTTTATTTAAATGATAAATATATATGATAGATCCTTTATATGCTTTCTTTTAACTAAAGAATGATTTTTATAAGAAAATATTCATATATTATATAAATTTAAGAAGTCACAAACCATTACTAAAATGTATTTGTTAGTTATTTTATACTTTTAAAGCATAATAATTTCATTTAATAAAATATCATTTAGTCATTTTTAACATTTATAAACAAGTCATAATACCAAGCAATGCAAAACATAACATTTATATCTATATAGGATAATACTTTTATTTTTTTATACTACAAATCATCAAGGTTTAAATTTGTATCATTTCAACACTTGTCAAATTTTTAGTATTTATTGAGGATATTAATTATATTTTACTTGAATTAAGCTTTTGTTTTTGTTTTTTGTTTTAGCTTACTATTATAGGTTATAAGTCCAACTTCGATTTTGAAAAAGAAAGAAAATCAATGATGAAAAGTTAGAGAATTATTACAAAGCAAAGGGTAAAGGTACTAAATAGATCTCCAAGATAATTATTCGATTAAGAAAATATGATAAGTTAAAAAGTTATGAGAGATTACATCAGGTTTGTTCCACATATAACTTTTGCATCACCAAGTACATATCTTTTGATAAGTGAGTTAGATGAGAACTTGAATCAGCGGGAAAACTTCATACTTTATATTTTTGAATAAGTACCACCAACAAATTCTATTAACAAGCACACCGACACAATTATCCAACATCTTTGCACTTTTAAAGAGCTTATTGCTTTAACTTGAACTAATAATCATTTTCACAAATTCATTTACTTTCTTCTTTCCATGGCTTTGTAGGTGGTGATCCATATAAGCATCCTAAGGAATTTCACGTTGTTTGCTTAAGTATGAAATCTATTGGGGTTATAGAGGAACAAATCAAGTTGAAAGCCTTTCCTTTCTCTTTGAAGAAATTGACAAAAAAATTGGTTGTATTGCTTGCCCCTTAGATCTATGACCTTATAGGAAGAGATGCAAAGATATTTGCTTAAAAATACTCTCCAGTATTTAGGGTTGGAAGTATAAGAAAAGAAATTTGTGGAATAAAAAAAATGAATAGGGAATCTTTATATAAGTATTATAAAAAGTTTAAGAAATTATATGCTAGCTGCCTTCAACATCAAATTCCCAAGATAGGAGCATGATATATGTAACTAGTGGAAGAGCTTTAGCAGACAAAACACTCAATTTACTAAACAATTGATATCCATTATAGCTGCCAAAACTCAATAATTTGGCACAAGAATTAACACACTCATTGAACATGTTAATGAGGTAAATTCTTAATTTTAAGAAAAGATTAGATACTCTTACCTCTTTGGTACTTTGATGATCGGTAACTCTAAGGAAGTTATGACTTGTGAAATTTATATAATGCAAGGACATGCTACCAATTCTTGCCCAACTCTTTAAAATGGCTCTACAAATCAAATTAGTGTTATAGGAATGATCTCATATCCACAACACAGGTATGATCTCTATTTTAATACATACAATCTTGGATGGAAGGATTATCCTACCTTGAGATAGAAGAATTAAAGAGGTGGTTTTGCATCATAAAATCAATGTATTAACCACGAACATTTTCAATTTCAAACTAAACCATTGATGAGTACTTAAAAGTATATTTTTATCAAGATTTTATATGATCATTTTGCATTTGAAGTATCAATAACTCCTTAACTAAAGTATGTTTTATAATAATATATCTAATAATATAAGATATCTTTAATTTGTAGTATGCTAAATTTTTGAAAGATTTGTGTAGAGAAAACTAAATGTGAAAAAGAAAACCTTTTTAGTCGAACAAGTAAGTGTCATTCTTCAGAACAATAATACTTTGAAATATAAAGACCCTGGTTGCACTACAATTTCAAGCTTTATTGGAGAACATAAAATTGAAAGAGCTTTACTTGATCTCAAAACTAGTGTGAATTTACTTCCATATTTAGTCTTTTAAAGTCTCAATCTAGGTGAGTTAAAACCAACTTCTATAACTCTGTTACTTGCTAATAGATTTGTAAAAGTGCATAGAGGAATAGTTAAAGATGTGTTAGTATAAGTTGATAAATTCATTTATCCTGTGAATTTTATTGTCCTCGATACATAAACTATTAAAGCATGTAATTTAATTGCTGTTATTTTAGAACGTCCGTTTCTTGCA